TTTGTACTTTTATTGGTCGTAGTACTACTTCAGCAAGAAACGATTTACTGAGGTAGTTCAGTATTGTCACGTTGAATTTTGGAAGTCCGTCAAATCAATTCATCGATTTCTGTATTTCCTGTAAATATGAGATTAAACAATAGATAATACATTCAGTAAAATCTATCAACACTTTTAAAATTTATTAATTCTTACATACTCAAAATTATTCAATACTATTATTCCTCATAGCTGTTTTCTAAAATTCTGAGGAAATGAAAAGATTGTTTTATGAGATGGTGGAGAAAATTTGTAGCTCAGGTGGATGATTGTAGTGGCGTTTGGTTCTCTGAGCTGGATATTTTGGTTGTGGAGCTTTCATTGTTCTTCCGAACAACATCAGCACAAACATCAGATAGAAGTGAGGCATCCGAATTTCTTCACGTTTAACCTGTAGCTTGTTCTGCTAACCTCGATCTTGATCGGTTACTGTTGACCTTAAACTTGTCATTGTTTGCACCTTTGTTTTGACTGTATCCCCGTTTTGATCTGTTTCTTGATCCTAAGTCGCCTACGATTTTTATGATTGGTTGATAAATTGGGTCAGTGTCGATGCGTTTGCTGGCTGACCTGAGCGCCAAGCTTCTAAAAATTCCCTAGTGTTCTTTATCCTCCCCCTATCTAGTATTTCCATATTGTTCCAATCGAACGTATGTCCATAATTGTCCGTATGTATTGATATAAGTGAAGGGTTGCTGTGGCGTTTAACTGCTAATTGGTGTTCACGTAAACGAAGCTGAAGAGACCGTCCACTTTGTCCTATGTAGTGTTTTTCACAGTCTGAGCAACTTATTTTGTAGATGATATTTGGTTTCTCTTCATTTTTCATTTTGTCCTTTGGTCTACTATAAGACTGATTGAAGTGATTCTGTTGGTTTGTGTGCCACAAGTCCTATTCCAAATGGTTTTAGTAGTCGTGCTGTATGCTCCGATGTATCTTTTATGTATGGTAGGATGATCCGTTTATTCGCTTTTGTACTTGATTTCGCTTCTGTTGACGATTTCAGTTGATGTTTTTTGGTGAAGTTGCGTGGATAGTAGTTCTTTTGGAAGATAGTAACAAGGTGTTTTTCCTCGTTTTCTAGTGCTTCGTATGTGCTGCAATGCGTCTTCGAAGACACAGTTAACAGGGTGAGAAGTGGTACATATCTTTGACATCATTATTATATGTATGGTTGTTGATAGAGATTTGAAATTTTGCAAACAACAAGTGAGTGTTAGTCTGATAGAGCTAAACCATCCACTACTCCATTCACATCTTTCTCATTGTATATTATCTTTTGGGCAAACAAAACGCAGAAACATTAGAATACAATAGTACTTATGGTTCCTAATGTTACTTTCAGCAAATACACAACAAAGCTAACAGCCAACTCATTCAAACTTACTGTTTCTAATATTTTTCGTGAAATATGACAAGAGATCAACGAACTTATTGAAATGGTGCATTGTTACGTCAAAAATTCTGTATTACATTGAACATTCAATCTGGAATCGTTAAAACAAACAGACCAAGATTTAAGTTTAGTAATGATCTTTTAAAAAAATGGTCAAAGAACTATATATATATATATATATATATATATATATATATATATATATATATATATATATATATATATATATATATATATATATATATATATATATATTTGGTGATGGAGGTGGGATTCAGTTAGCTCACATTCAGGCGCATCACACAGCAACCATCCCACTCCATGTAACTCAGCATAGCGGCTATTCCACATCATGTAACTCAGCCTCATAGAAACACAAGTAGCGCAAGCACTGAGGACCCTGCTTTTCTATCAGGGGGAGCCATGTGGCGCATTCGAAACCTAACTCTATCAAATCCTAGTTTCGTTTATCAGTTTGTCTTAATCTCACGCTGGCTTTATATCATCTGGTTGCTGTCTATTTATTTATTTGTATATTGCATGTGTAAGTGCATTCCATGTGCTTACTGAGTCGTCGGCTCCCTTATTTTTCTCTTGTTCTTTCTTCTTCTCTCAGATAATCTCATACGTTGCTCCTCACATCCACCCTAGCACACAGGGTACCTCCTAGCTAGACGCAAACCAACCAAAGGCTGAAGTTACTTTTGGAGATATATATATTACTTACCTTTCGGTGAACTATTCATACACTGATCACGTAATCGTTGTCTCAAATGACTTATTGCTTCTTTTTGTTTATCAATAATTTCATGGTGTCTTTCACCTTTACATTCATTGCCTAAATCAATAAGTTCTTGTGTAAGTTTAGCCGATGCATTGGTTTGTTCTTGATAATAAGCGAATTTCTTTCGTTCAGAATACAATGTATCTTGTAGCTGTTTAATTTTACATTCATATTCATGCTTGAGATTATTTAATTCTTGATTTATAATTTTGAATTTTCTAAATAGTAGAAGAAAGTTGAAAAAATTCAATGAAACGTTGTAAAATTTATTAGATTATTGACAGTGAATTCATTTTACGATCAGATAAGTATGATATGCTCATTGAAAAACATTTAAAAGTGTTACACCTGCACGTAAACACGTCAACTTGATATAACTCTAGTATTACGAGTTTACCTAGTCGGGAAACGAGAGCGAGGATCGAAGATCCGGCGACACGACATGATACTCAATCCGATTATCCTAACCCCCACCCATATTTAGTAAAAGAAGAAGACTTGATATGAAGTAGAACCTGTATTCTACAAGCATCCAGAAAGTACGAGGTCCGAATCCAGAAGAGAATCAGGATCCCGGACTAGGGATCCGGGACCCAGCCCTGGTCCTCGTCGTGGTCATAAAACGTTTCAGATAATGCGTATTTATACATTTTGGTCGAATAGGAAACACCATCGAATTCTGTGACATTGACAGTTAGGACAACCAATAGGAAGCAACATTTGAAGTGACACTGATAGTCAGGACAACCAATAATAAACAACATTGGATCACGTGACATAAAATTGACCAGTAGGAATTAACCAATAAGAATAGACCAATAATTCTCTTAGGATATTGAATGAATATCCTAACAAAAAGATACTTATCAATGCGGAGAAAAATTGGATAATGCTAACCATTGACTAGCAATCTCCAACCTACTCAGTCCTGCATTCTCTTTTCCAATCCCAGTCAAGTGAAATTCATTCTTTGGATGTCTGCCTCCGATTCACGGCACTTTGTTCTCAGTGGTTTGTCTTTTTTCATTGAGGATTACAAGTTCGGGGGATTCAGTTTACTAGTTTAAGTAATATTTGTCCTGTCCACCTCTAGTGTCTTTTCTCAATTTTTTTTTCTTCAGCTAGAAGCTGGTTTATTCTCTGCCAGAGTAGATTGGTTTTAGTTTCGAATATTGACAGAGCTATTTACATCAGAGAAGTTATTTACTGTAACATTATGACTCAAATTTAGATTTTGTTTAATGTTAGTTTAAGATGACTAAAAAAATATTTTGATCAATACATTTCATATATTTGAAACATCGCGCGCAAACGTTCAACCTCTAGACCACTTAACTAGCCGGTATTCAACAATCTTAATGCCTAACTTTGATCAATCCAAAGTACCGCGCAACCTCACTCAGTGTCTTGTAGGAAATTGCGTACACTCGATAGGTTTGAACTCCACTGGTGAAGGCTTCGCACTAGAACTCCGATAATTTCCTCACGAAACTAGCACACTGTAAAGCAATGGATTCCGATTTGATCTCGTGTGCTGTTACGGGTATGAGGGCAGTTGTCACTTCCCGGCTGCCCACACCGTGGAAGGTTGTTTCTTGAGGAACCTGAAAAAGAAGGTAGATTAGTGTTGGTCTTAGAGACCTGGGAGCGTGACCGCAGAGCCCAAGAAACAACTGCTTCAGGGAGGTCACGCACGGCCTTTTTATTAGTGGTCTTTTGAGTATTAGCTCCGCTCCTAAAAGCCCTTAGTGGGCACCCTTACCCAAGGAGACGGAAATCCGTGAGGTAGGGTGAGGTGTGACATTTTTAGGGTCGACCTTTTCTAACCGTTCCTTCCTTATGAGAAGGCAGCATCGCTGCATATGCTGGTTGTCCGAGGGAAACACCTTACTGATGTCCCCCCCTTCACAGTCATTCAGCAGTACGACTTCGCCTTCATACCTTGAGTAGCTGCTTTTAGTCTCGTCATTCTCCAGTCGACCTCCCTGACATGGTAGGGCCTACAGGAACATCTGTTCCAGCCAATATAGCTCGGCTGGGTCATCACGATGGGCAAGCCCGACCACCATGTCAAGGTAGCAGCTACGGTCGGGGTGTTATAGCAACATGAACTGATGTACTTACCTACGAAGTTCTACGTTGTAACTGACCGACTGACTGACTGATTGGATTCCGATTTAATCACTAAACATCATCATCATGTTCAATCCCTGCAAGTCAATCAGCTGGCCATAAATCAAGAAGCTTTTATCGTACATTTAGTCAACAACCTAAACACACAAGCTTTAAACTTTCACTTGAATGTACATGACTCTACACCAATCTATTGACTAGATGGATATCAATTAGAACAGTTTGTCTCTACTTACCTTATTTTGTCTTCTTTTTCTTGTAATTTTTCATTCATTTGTTCTAATGAATCTTTTAAGCTAACTAGTTGTTCTTTAGTATTACGTAATTCTAAATCAGTTTTTCTACTATAATTTAATGCATTCTCCATTTCTTCTTTTTGTTTCTCAGTTAATTCACTTTTTAAATCACTTAATCGTGCTTGTGTAATATCTAAATCAGAATGTAACACTTCAATGGTAGTTGTTTGATCTAGAATGATATTTCTTAATTGTGATATTTCATTTCTAGTTAGAAAAATAGAAAAGAAAAGAAAAGAGGGAAAAATCAATTCATGTGATCATAATGCATTGTTTGGCTTTTTTATTTTAAAAAAGCTCACCAAGTAATAATCAACAGAGAATGGTGTTTATCAGTCAGTCAGTTAGTTACAACGTAGAACTTCGTACGTAAGTACGTCAGTTCATGTCACCATACCACATCAGCACAGAGATGTATTTATCAATTCAAATCCAATAGTAGTAGAGGTAGTAAAGGTAGTAGAAGTAATTGGAGAGGTTATGATTAGAAGATATTATTCAAGTATGATTCAGTCAGATAAGTTTAGAAAGTCAAAACTAGAGGTGTTGAAGAATCCAGAAGATTAGGATTTGCGAGAACACAAAGAATAAATGCACTGGCGCCATTGCGAACGATTTTGAGCCATGTCATTCAAGGTCTCTAACCATCGGTTATTATCATCTCACGGACCCCAACCAGGTAGTCTACATCTACCAACATGACTCAGTCCACTCGTCAGTGACTTCATGGATTTCTGTCATGTTTTGGTTTGGCCGCCTCTAACTTTCTTCCAACCTATTCCTACACTACAAAACAAAGCTCGTCGAGGCAGTTGGTGGTTGGGCATACGCAGCACATGTCCCAATCACCTCAACTGATGAATTTTATTACTTTACCTACTGATCTGCCATTCTCACCTAGCACCCGTTTCCTAATAACAGCTTTACTCACTCGGGTGTCCCACGATATACGAGCAATGCTTCGAAGATACCTATGATCGAAAACCAGTAACCTATGAATATCTTCTACTCTCACTGGCCATGTTTCACAGCCATAAAGTAAGACAGAGCGAACTGCTGCGCAGTACACTCGTCCTTTAGTCAGCAAACGGATATCTCGCCTACGCCATAAGTGACGCAGGTTGGCAAAAGCCAATCGAGCCTTCTGTATCCGTGCTGAGATTTTGTCAGTCACCAGGCCATCGGCACTGATGAGACTCTCAAGATAAGTGAAGCGGTCTACACGTTCGAATACTTCACTCCCTATCACTAGTTCAGGTGCCGATGCAACCCAGTAGTTGGACTTACTCCCCTGTGATCGTCACAAGAAGACTTGTCCTTTCTTATAGATTGGGACAATCAGTGATTGAGAACAGTGGGATGGGATTACGTCCAGTTTCCAGATTCTACCTAAGATCTCAGTCAACCTAGCTGCTAAAACTGGACCACCATCCTTAAATATCTCAGGGGTCAGTCTATCAGGACCTGCAGCTCGCCCTTGCTTCAGATTTCCTAACGCCTTTTCAACTTCGTAAAGCCTGGGGGGACTTAGGTCGATTTGCCATTCAGGATGAATGGTGTTTATCACAATTGATGACAGAGAAAATGTTAACAGACTGATGAGTGATTGATCAGTGAGTGAGTAGTGACTAGTGCCTTGTTTGTTTGATATGTAAAGACTTCATATTGAAAAAGAAGACGCGACTGATTGAAGTGAAACATTCATTAATATAACTTATTGTCTATTAGCAGTTTTTGTACATGCATTTTCCTGTTGCTTTGTTGACATTTTGTTTTAGCCGCTCTGTATATCTTCGTCCATTTCTCTGGTACGAATTCGGTATTCTTTCGATAGCACGAAATCGCCAGCAAATATACTCACATTCATCTGGACTATCTCTGCTTCGCTGTTTTTGCTTCACGACAGGAAAACGCGTTAAGACTACAGCGAAACTGGTTTGTAGTGGTGTTCATACTCGACTTCGACTTGAACTACTACTACAGACGTATTACCGTAGGTTCAATCTAAAACGTTGCTTCAATGTAGCCCACTAGTCGAAGTAAGACCCTTTACTGTAAAGACCATTTCGAGATGTTAAATGATTTTACGTAGTAAGTAGCAGGCTGGCAATCTAGAGTTCTACTGGGGTGACTGCCGCTCGCAAGCCCGAATAAACGGTTGAGTATGGGGTTAGTGAACTCATCCCGTTGGAAACCAACTCACTGAAAAAAATAATTCAAGTAAGTAATTTTCAGCAAGGTGACTGTGTAGTGTTAAGAGGAGGAAACAGATCCTTCCTGTGGAATTCGAATCCGAATAACCCTGCTTCACAGTTTCAGATATTACCACTCAGGCTGAAATCAACATTCTGTTGAACTGACAAAATTACACTGATGAACAAACATTTATCCTTATGTATACGGAAGTTTAAATTTAAAAAAAACTCAGCATTTCTAAAGTGAGGCAATCGCTATGTAGCTGATAAATGATTATTATGATTGTTTTATACAAAAGAAATTCTATATTCTTCATGTCAGCATTGGATGGTATGAACAACGTATCAGAACTTCGTCATCTTGAATATTTTCTTTCAAAGTATTGTGTATGTCATCAACATTATAGTAATTAATGCTGTCAAATATTTGTAGTCGATGCCACTACTTTACTTTTATTTCAAGATATTTAAACTGTTACGTTTTATGAACCGTAAACAGTTTACAGTGGTTAATTGAAGATAATTTCACCCATTACACCTGAATCTTAGGAAATTCATTGACCTGTTATTGATTAGTAGTATCTAGTGTTAAACTGTTTAGAAGTTAGTACTGATTGTATTCGAACTATCCGACTGTAATGCAGCTCATAAACAGATTGACTTAGTTAGTAGTATTGTGTGCATAATTCTTTTCTGCTTATCTATGGTTACCAACTAGCGGAAATTTTAATAAGTTCATTAACTTCCTGTTGATTACCGACAAACTACTGAAATTAAAATTCTATGCGCAAAGGTGGAGGACGATTAGAAAGTAACATTGTCAGTACATGAGTAATACTAGTAACTGTTGTAATGATATTTCCTGTTCACTTAAAAGGGTACTTACAATTTATTTCCTTGTTTTTAAGGTTACACTATATATATATATATATATATATATATATATATATATATATATATATATATATATATATGGAGGTATGCGGTAGTAGTATTATTAGGCTATCAAAACCACACTAGGTAGCGGCGTTAGGTTATAACTTGCAAGAGAGGAAATTAACAGTGCATAAAAAGTGAAAAAAAATAGAATTTATTATCAATTACAGTGAAAATCTAAATATTGTTCAAATAAAATAACAGAGCATCAAAAGATGAAAATTTACTGACTACATTTAGCTGAGAACGTCAGTATTAATGGAGGCTGAATGTTTCTAATTCAATGGAACAAACTTGTAACACTACCGTACAGCAGATCCTAATAAGTGCACATTCTGACTCGGCTTTAAAAAAAAGAGGTCCATAAATTTATGAACTGGAGCCTCATTTTAATCTATTCACAATCAATATTTTTCGAAACTATTTTTATGTGTACCGGCATTCTACACGTGGGTTGATGCTAACATACAATAAACAGGCTGAAAATTTAGTCATTCAGAAGAAATCAAGATTTGTAAGGCCTGATGAACACTTCGTAATATTATTATTATTATTATTATTATTATTATTATTATTATTATTAATGAATTATCTTACCTTAAATCACCAATTAATCTAGGACTTGGATGGTCATCAATAAAAGCATTTGCAGAAGAATATCTATTTCCACCATTGTCACAATGACATGCTAATTAATGTTTTGGTTAAAAATGAAATTTTAAAAAAAGTAATTTTTTAAGAAAAAGACGAATTTAAAGTAAAGTTGTGGAGATCAGTGTTTTTTACACATTTGAAATCATCAATCAATCATTGTAAGACACCACCATCAGAAACCTGTAGGCATTCGATGGCCTGTGGTATGGGACTCATCCTCAGCGCGCATCCACGACTCCTGCTACTCGTAGAATGATTGATTGATGATTTCAATGTGTAAAAATCACTGATCTACAATAACTCTAATTGAAAAAAATCGTACATTATGCTCACTAGTGGTTAGCTTCGTGAAGAAATTCTCGGCATCTTAGTGAGAAGACGTGACCAGTGGAGTTCAACCCTGTCGAATGTAGGTGAGGTCACGCAAAATCACTAGATTGATCGGAGTTAGACGTTAACATCATTGGATGCCAGCCAAATGGTCCAGAGGTTAAACGTTCGCATGCGAAACCGACTCCTGCATCGCAGGAGTCGTGGACGCGTACTGCTGATGAGGTCCTATCAGGACGAAACGACCATCTAGTGCTTCCACGTTTCCAATGATAGTTTAACAACGACTGATTGATGATTTCAATGTGTAATTTATAGTAGCTTTTTCTGAATAATTTAGTTTGGATTTAATTTTTATCTTCTATTCGATGGTGTAAATATATCAATGCTCTGTAATTAGTTGTTTTCATCAACTTGTCTTAAGTTTGGTTTAATTATCTCCGTCAATATGTGACTAAAGTTTGTAGACTAAACAGAATTGCACTTATATAATATCAAATACTGTTATAATACAGTCATTTCAACTTTACTAAAGTTGATTTCCAATTCGTTTTGTTAATACGTAGAGACTTGATAAAAAGCTGTTGGAAATCAGGAAACTATTTTCATTCTTGTCTAACATTCATCAACTATTCGTACTTATGACACATATATTAGATTGATAACCAATGAAAACCAAACAGCACTGGACAACTGTTTTGTCCTACTATGGAACACATCGACAATGCATAACTCCAACTTAATGAGTAATCGAACCCAGGATTAAGATTGATCAGTAATACAAATCATGAAATTCCAACAATCACTCTAATCTTCTATGAGAGTAAAATTCAATTGATTTCTACCCTACGAAGAGTTGTTAATAATCATTCATTTCCTAATTTAGAATTCTGAAAATAGTATATATATCGATGATAAAATTATCCTTATTTTGAATCCGTTTTCTAACTCTTCCCTGTGCGACGTTTAAACTTCACCGAATAACTCATTTTCTGTTGTTATCTCGTGAATTTTCGAGATTCATCAGACGAGAATTGATCAAGTTAGACATTAACACCGGTAGATACCGGCCCAGTGGTCCGATGGTTAGGCGTTCGCGCACAATACCGAAGGTCCTGGGTTCGAATCCTGCGGGGTGCAGGAGTCGTGGATGCGCACTGCCACTGATGAGTCCCATACCAGGACGAAACGGCCGTCCGGTGCTTCCAGGTTCCTAATGGTGGTCTAACATTGATCGATTCATGGTTTCAAAAAAAAAACTATTTTCAATTTATGCCAGTAATAAATTCAACCAAAACGAATACGCATGTATAGATTTTTATTCTATTCAATGTAACATAGTTTTATTTATTTGTGAGTGAATTGGCAATAATACCCGGCTTCTCAGACCGAAAAAGGTGGCTTTCTAAGGAATCAACTCCCCATAGACTTTGACAGTGGAGCGACATTGGGAAAGGCAGCCCGTGATAGCCGACGACCAATAATAGGTTCATATACTATTTGATTCATCAGAATCCTTGAGCTCGTGTGCGCCATTGGTTTCGAATGAAGGTTTTCTAATTCTCCTAGGTGGATGGATCACCTATACCCACTAGCCCCGTTTTCAATTCTCCACCAGAAAAATTCGCTTTTCAAAATTCTCAATTTTGTAAACAATACCCGTGCCACGAGAAAGCAATGAGTAAAACACTGACAGTGGCCAAACATGCAAAGTCATATGCGAGTACTTCTAGAGAGACAGCGAGTTAACTCTCCTCTCTCTTGACTAGGCCAGTGCATTTGGGGGGCATAATGCAACATGATAATTAACCATGTTATTACTGAAGAGCAGCCTGAAGAAGTAATTGGAAGCAAATGTTTGCCACCCTGATGATATTCTTCCTTTTTGTCTTTTCACAAAACAAAAACACTTTCATCTCATTGATAAGTAATTGAAAATCAAAAAGGAAAATACCTGTATTGCTAAGTTTTAATTTTGCTAATTCACTCTTCGACTCATCTAATTGTTTTGACAATTCAATTAAACGATCTTCCATAACACAAATTGTTTTAGCATGTTGTCGAATTTGTTCTTTATAACTGTCTCGCTCTGATTTCCAATGTGATTCACATTGTTTCGCAGTTTCTTCACGTAATTTTGCATAAGCTAAAGTTTGTTGATCTAATTGTGAATTGATAGCTTCAATTTGTGTTTCTTTCAATTCAATGTCTTGATGTAATCTCGTGAGGAGTTGATTTGCTTCTTCAATTTCATTGAATTCAGTGATTTGTTTCTTGGTTTGAAATTTTTAAATTCAAATAACATAACATAAAAATATTTGAGAATATGAAAGATTCCCATAGTGAAAATTAGAACAATACATATAAGCGAACAATATTGTTGTTTTCGATTAGATCGTCATCAGGCTTTACTTTCTAATATACATGAATATTTATGATGAAAATGTTCTAACCAATCAAGGCAATTTGAGTCAATAATCACAATGAAATGAAATAGAGATTACGTCACTACACATATAACAGGCAAAAGTACAAGTTGACAGTAGGAAGACAGGTGTACTGATAGTAGTAAGAAAATTATAAGTACGATAACAAAAGTTTTATTAATAGTAGGTCAAACGTGGATAAATAGACACTCAGTGCAGCTAAACTTGCGTCGACCTTCTCAAGTCGACCAGCGACGTCTACCCAAACAAAGGATAAGTTACCTGAGTTGGCCTCCTCTATATGCATTTACAAATTCAGCTGTTTCTGTGGAGGTAGCTATATTGGGCCTACTACCAGGCAATTTAACCGAAGAATGAGTGAACATCTCCCAGCATGGTTTAAGAAGGATCAGTCAAAAATACTACGCAGTTCGATCTTAGGAGACCTGGGTTGATAATGGTCATATTGTAGATAAGTCTAAAGCTTTTCGGGTGGTCAATCGTATACCTCCAATGGAGTTCGATCCCGTCTCCAACACATAGCAGAAACAATAGGAATTCATACATTCAACCCCAATTTATTTCTTCAGAAGAAATTTTCGACACCTCTTCTGTGGCCGGATATGACGTAGCTAACGATTTAAGATTTAAAAAATTTTTTTTGGTTTAAATTTTATTTTCTTATTATTAGCATTATTTTCACATCCTCTATTTGTGAGTAATTCTCTGACTTTTTCCGTTTATTACGCAATGGTTTTATTGTTTTGTAATGATTTTAAGTCTATTTATGCACGTTTGACCTACTATTGATAAAACTTTTGTCATCGTATTTTATTTTTCTTACTATTGTCAGTATACCTGTCTTCCTACTATCAACTTGTACTTTCTCCAATTATGCGTAGTGACGTATTCTACTTCAGTTCATTGTGATTACTGATTCAAGTTGCCTTGATTGGTTTAACATTTTCGTATAAATATTCATTCATATTAGTGTAAAGCCTGATGGACGATCTAATCGAAAACAATATTGTTCGCTTATAAATATTTGAATCGTTAATTACTTAA